GCAGCCGGGGGGGGGTGGAGGCCCCAGCAGCTGCCCGGCAGCCGCTCTCACCAGCATCACCGCCACGCAGGGCCCGGGTCCCTGGTGTGCCACCATCCTCCGCCGTCGGGGACAGCCCCGCCGACCGCAGCCAGGGTACGGACAGTCCTCTGGGACACCCGGGTCTGTCCCACCGGAATCGGTGGGAAGGTTAGAGGCAAAGGGTTGGGGATCAAGCGTGAAGTCATGGAGAAGGGTCTGGCCTGGGACTGCCCGCAGCGCTGGAGGAGGATCCCGGTTGTATGGTGTGCCACCATCCTCCGCCGTCGGGGACAGCCCCGCCGACCGCAGCCAGGGTACGGACAGTCCTCTGGGACACCCGGGTCTGTCCCACCGGAATCGGTGGGAAGGTTAGAGGCAAAGGGTTGGGGATCAAGCGTGAAGTCATGGAGAAGGGTCTGGCCTGGGACTGCCCGCAGCGCTGGAGGAGGATCCCGGTTGTAGGTGGCAAACCTGTCCTAGCTTGGGGGTTTGCGAGGAAACCAAGCCGCCAAAACTGCCCAGGAGCGTGAAGAACCACCTGCATGTCTCTGAGGTACCCGGCTGCGACTTGGGCCACCGTTTCGTGGGAAACTTGGTTGGTTGTCACACGTGTTCCCCTATGAAGCGGCAGTTCACTGGAGAAATCCCATTGTGGCCTGACCTTCATTTCAGGAAAGAAATTGGTGACCCTTCATTTCAAAATGTTGTTCTTACACGTTTTCATTTTCGTATTGTTTGTAGTGCTCATTCTCTCCTGCCATGTCAGTAGTGGTGCCTCTTGTATCTCCAGATCGCAGTGTCTGCAGGAAAGAAGAGATGTTTTCAGTCCATAGTAAGTAGCAGCAGCCCTTAACGAGTTGGAAACTGAAACCACAGAGCGTTTATTTAACGGAGTTTGTATTGCATGACATGTCAGTACAGGTGTCATGAAATAACTTTGAAATGATCAAACATGCAACATTTGAAATAGCATTTTTAAACTTAAGAATAAAAAAAAAAAAGAAATGGAAATTTTTATGGTAGAATTTTTCTTGAACGAACCAAGTTTAACTCCGTTTTCCAGGGGAAACTTCACCGAAATCAGTAGGATTTCATCCGTATGCATACACACAACTAGTTTTACTGAAACTGCTTTTTTCTGGCGAATTCCTGTTTTGACAAACCAATGTCTGACCTATTATCAACCAACCAGCATCGCAGCACCTTTAAAAACTTTGTTAAACCTTACCTGATTGTAAGGTCAGCCTGTTCCTTGGCGTACCACCGGCAGGCTCAGTGGGACCAGAGGGAGCCCCGCATCCCGCGGGCTCAGGCCCCGCTCCGTCTGTTACAGGAACCTGTTGCATTACAGCAGTTTGCTGCCAACCCAACGCTGTCTGTACAAAACCAGTTCAGTTTGGTATCGATGTGATTTTAAACTTTCCTACCGCCGGGGTTTGTAGCTGTAGAACTGACCTTTCAGGACGGTGTAACTGCTGGTGGTGAGCGCGTGGGTGACAGACGCACGCGCCCCCAGCCCGCGTGTGTGTATCCCCCTCCGTCCCCCGGGCAGCTCTTCCCGTGTTCTCGAGGCGGTCGAAGCAGACTGCAGTTACCTCATCTCGTTCTTGCTCTGTTTCGGGGACTCTTAGACCAGGGTTTAATTTTTTTTCCTTGTTTTGAAAGGAATGGTGTTTTTTAAAATGGGGGTTGGAGCTAGGGGGAGGGATCGGGGCATGACAAAGGAAAATCACAACCTTTTTCGTACTGGGTTTTGAGAAGACTTGTCCTCCAACACGAGCAGTTACCGCTCGGGCCGACTGTGGGCAGGCTCTGCATTGTTGAAGGTAAATTTAGGGTTACACTAGCAACACTATCTTGCTTGTAAAACAATGAGATGCATTTTTTTC